GGTCAAACTAAAGGCTTCCATACTTCATAGTTTGCCTTTTTTTAACACTTGCTGAACCAAACGTTTCAAACCAAACATTAAAAATACTAATTTGTTAGTACATTTAGTGGTAGATTTTTTTGTGGTTTATTTAAATTAAAATGTTTTCTTTAAAAATGACTAATTTCTTTAGTGTTGTGGCTGGTTTAGTGTTTTTTGTTGTTCCAGGCATCAGTTTATGTTGATTTATGTTTATTATCGCTTAACAACTTCCTTATCAACTACTACATTTTTAGTTTGAACATTAAATGTTCTTAATTAAGACCTAATTAGTTCTCTGTTTGTCTTTGGCTTGGCCTCATTCGTTTTTCTATCTATTTGTATATTATAATTCTAATAAATCTAAATCTAATTATATAATCAATCTAAATGTAATTATATGTTTTATAATTTCTCCACTGTGAGATCAATAAAGCTTTTATCTTATCTTATCTCATTTGACTAATATTGCCGTTGTGTGACTTTGAGCTGTTTTTTCAAAACTGATTTTGTAGTTTCAAAATGTTACAGAAAGATTTTTAAAAGTACATACATATCTATTTTATCTAAGCACACATATAGAGGGTTGTTTTCATTTTTCAAGTTAGTGGATCATCTAACGGATTAGGAATCTCTCCATCGACCCACAACACAGCTAAAAATGGCCCTGTGGTCACAATAAATAACTATGATTATAAATGTGTCAACTGCGTGAGGCTGAAACTTTCCTAAGTAACAGTTATGGCCATTAACCTACTTCGATTTAGGAAAGCCAAAGTTTTCTGTTAGTGTTTGAAGAAGTTAATTTCGTGATTATTCAGCCGGTGACTCACAGTAAGCTCATACACAAAAAAAGATTTTCGTATGATTAAGCCGAGTGCAGATATACTCCGATCTCACACCTCTCTCACCGTTTATTTCCGTGCACGCACCGGGAGCGTGCACGTGAAGCTTTGGCCTGAAACCCGAGGCGTGAGGCGTGTGGGAAACCTGAGCCCGGCCCCTGGTTCCGGTTATTTCCGTCCGCAGACGCGTCCGGCCTCGTCCTGCCGGGGTCCAGACACGTCCGGAGGGATTTCGGCTCCGTCCAAAAAGAGCGATTTCCATCCTGAGAGAACACAAACCGTGTTCCAAAGATCTCCAGGTGAAGACGGGAACAGTTCGGAGTTGAAGGGGCGCAGAAATAATGGTGGAAATAAGTCAACAAAACAAAAAGCTGGCTCGGATCTCCACGGAAATTCAGCCGGATGAAAGTAAATCAAATTAAACAGGAGTTTGTTTCTCAGTCTGATAAATCTTTGGTGGTTTTAACAAGCTTTCTTTGACTAATGAGCATCACCTCCAAGACCCCAGAGTCTGTGTTAGTGTAACGGGGAGCATTGGAGGGAATCTCTGCTCAAAATGAGGGTTTATCAGTTTTTAGCAATGTTGTTTATGGAGATAATTTTTTATTCTGTGTTCATACACAGTCAATTTCTCCCTGGAGATCAATAAAGTATATTCAATTCAATTCAAATGCACAGGTAAATTTCAGAAGTGCTTAAACTAAAACAAATAAACCACTTATGCTCCATCATTTCCAAACGTTTTAGACATTTAGAGGCATTTTGTTACTCTGAAATGATCCAGATTAGTTTTATTCCTGAAAATATGCTTGTTATGGGTTCTCTGATCTTCTCACATGGTAAAAATGAACCTTCTGAGGCTTCTTGAAATTCAATTTTGCTTATAAAGCACAACAGAAACCATCTCTGGGCTTCCTCCCACCGTCCAAAAACCTGCATTATATAGGTTATAGGGTAGATATTAGATGTTCCAAATTGCCCCTAGGTGTGAGTGTGAGTGGTTGTTTGTCTTTGTGTGTCTCTGTGCGTCCCTGTGATGGACTGGCAGACCCTGCCTCTCGCCCATTGACTACTGGAACAGGCTCCAGTTCTCCCAGAGAAACATCTGGAACCAGCAGCCCAAAGGTGACCGGAGCTGGATAAAAGACCTCGTGTGGTTTCCCGGACAGAGACGTACAACTCCCAGTTCAAATCAACGAAAACAAAAGCTGAATTTCCACATCGATAATCTGGCTTTGGAGACTATCTAAGGGCGTTTTCATCTCAAACCAGCGACTTCCCTTTTGGGGCCTCTTTAAAGAAATCTTTCCAAAACATTCGATGGCTTCAGTTATTAACTCATCGGCTGCCAAAGACGTCTATAGACGTCTTTTATGTTTTTCTACGAGAGTGTCCGGGGGACGATCTGATAAAGCTTGTCTGTAAATATCAGGCTTCTAGACAGAGTATGTAGTAACAAATTGACCCTCTAGGTGGCAGTGCCACTTTTGATGGGAGATGAGCATAGACTGTAGGCAAATAAGAAAAAGGGAACGCTTCGCTATGAGAGAACATGTCGCCGGTGAGACGCAAGTCGAGGAAGAACGGAATAAGGTAGAAACACTTTATTTTTTCCTGATGGAAGAAGAGAGTCTACTCTTTCTTTTGGTGTGTTCGGTGTTTACATAGTCATAGCACAAACTATTCTGTGGCTCTGAAAATGGCTGGCAGTCAATGAGCTAAAAGAGCACTTATAAAGAAAAAGCTAACGGTGGTCAGACCAAAGGCTCTCTGTGGCGAACAGGAAGTTTACAAATGGAGTTAAAGGGGAACAGTTGAGACGGACACAGACATCAGACACACATTCCTGCTGCTCTCCACTTCAGGAATTCCCAAACCCATCCAGGTGATCTCAGCATACCGGGCCGTGCGCGTATTTGTGTGAAAACATCCCTATTTATACCCGATAACGGCCTTCCCGAGTTTAGCTGGACGCCTCACAGCACAAACTTGTTTTGCGGCCGGTTTTATTAGGACAGGGTCCACGGAGCGGCTAAAAAAACTGGACACCTGTTCCCTGGAAATTCCACCGGGAGGCCGTGTGTGTCTGTATATGTGTGTGTGTGTGTGTGTGTGTTGAGACTGTTGACGCTGGACTTTTTTTGGCCGTCACTTCCTTTGCGTCCCTATTTAAAGGGCCGGTGCGTGGCCAGAGGGGCTTCAGAGGGGGATTAGAGAGAGGGTGGCCCACTCTGACCACCAGCCATTCACCCACTGACCGACTGAAGGGCTACAAAGCTCTGGAGGTTTCCGGAAAGACCCGTGGAAGACATAAAGACTGAGTCCCTGGGACACTGAGAAACGACAAAGGGAAAGAAGGAAGGAAGGAAAGAAGAAAGACAAGGAGTTTTTAAGATCTTTGCAACAAAAAAAACTTAATTTTTTATTGGGGAAAGCATTATTTAGACTTCGATTTTCCAAGACTTTATCTCGAACAACAAAAGAAACCT